AAAAATTTTCCACACATTAATGTGCGGGAACATTTAATTTCGTCTCTCATCAAACATAATGTGTACACACATTACAATTGCACGCACAGAGGAAGAAACCGACTTCATAGAACTCTCTTTCTCATTCCCCATGGTCGACTGCCATGGTCGACTGCCTACTAGGCAGTCCATGGGGAAAGGATGAGGGTGAGGGAAATTGTGAATTTCACAATTTTTCACAATTTCATCCAACAGACAGAAATATCAGTCTTTTTGCTTGTTTCCTTTGCAATGTACTGAAGTGATACTAACGCAGAGAGCACGCGATCGAATCCAACTATGTGCTGTCTTCTCATATCGTGTGCTAGCATGATTGCATTCTGGTTTTCTTCTGGCTGTTCATTTGTTTAAATTTAAGGAAATCGAAATAGTTGTTCCCTCTTTATTTAAGATAATTTCGACGACGATATGAAAGTGATAAAAGTTGTTGTCAATGGCGTGGAGCAAAATTACATTTTATATGCTGGCAACGTCATTCAGTCAATAACGAGCAACAACAGTGGCTGTAGTTCGACACAAATTGGAACCGATGGTTGCGCCACCTGCATCGGTATAGCACTGTTTTTTCGAAATCAAAATGATATGCGACAATGTTTATTAATACATTTTGGCTATGGGGATGAGTATTGTAAAGTCAAGTTCGATAAACAACCTAAAGAATCCGTGCCGATATTGATAGAAACGATACGACAAGACTTAATAAAGAAAAATATCGACACAAGCATAATTCAAATTGAAAATTTTTTTATTTTTGGTGGTGCATCAGATGATGATGAAATGCAGAACTTTATTGGCGAATTTAAAGCTGCGCGTGATTCACTAAAAAATCAAGCAGTCCACTCAACTTCTGCCCAGAATATATTCATGATCTCATTGTTATGTGTAACGTTGATCGTGCCATCATACGCACTCCAAATGAGAGATGATGAAGATGATCATCTTTTATCATATGTAAACGCCTATATCGACGTAGTGAACAACTTCATTATATTACAATACGTTTTTCCTATTGATATAGCAGGTAATCAAGGTCTGGATGAATTTATGTACCTGATTCAAAAATTTAAATTAACACTAAATTCAAATTATGAACAATACGTCGAATGTATCAACGATAATAAGCTGTGTGGTTTACTGAAGATGCCGGTGTTCACAAATACACAAAAAGCACGTGTCCTCGATTTACTATATTTAATTGGATTTCATAGTACTGATCCAAGATTTAAAAATAAAGTTAACAAAGTTACGACACAAATCGAAAATGAATTATCATAAATTCCTGTGTGTATCAACATCGTCTTTTTTTCAATGAGTTGACATTTTTATTTAAATTTTGTATATTTTGTT